CATGCCTCTTCTCTTCTTGGGCCATGATTTTTTTTTTTTTTTCATTTTATTTGTCTTCTGCTTCTTGCGTTCTGCTGAATTTTATCTGGGTTTCTCGTAGTTTTCATGTAGTAGTTTTCTTTCTCTGAGATTTTGGGTATCTGTTCTTGTTACAGGTTTAATTTGCCCCCTTTTTTGTTTTTGTACTTGTGTAGTTGTGTGTTGTGGGCAATTGATGCCAGAAGAATGAATATCGTACCCAAGAAAGATGAAATCCACATCAGGGAGGTGTGGAGTGACAATCTTGACCGCGAGTTTGGTTTGATTCGTGAAATCGTGGACAAGTATCCTTACATTGGTATGGACACCGAGTTCCCGGGCGTCGTCATTAAGCCCCTCGACCCATCCAAGAACCGTTCGGTGGCCAACTATCAAAGTCTAAAAGCTAATGTGGAAATTCTGAACCTAATTCAGCTGGGGCTCACTTTCTCAGACGAGAATGGAACCCTCCCGACCTGTGGGACTGGAAAATACTGCGTCTGGCAGTTCAATTTCCGTGAGTTCAACCTTACGAAGGACGCCTATGCCTCCGACTCAATTGACCTCCTGATCAACAGCGGCATTGACTTCGAGAAGAATAACCAAAAGGGTGTTGATATCGAAAGATTCAGCGAGCTTCTTATGTCGTCCGGAGTCGTGATGAACGATAACATTCGGTGGCTATCTTATCACAGTGGATATGATTTTGGGTACCTTTTGAAGCTGTTGACTTGCAAGGACCTTCCGGATACGATCGAAGGGTTCTTTGATATGCTCGGTTTGTACTGTCCGGTTATATACGATATCAAGCACCTGGTGAGGGAGAAATATCATGGTGGGCTGAGTTCACTTGCTGAGGTTCTGGATGTGGAGCGTGTGGGCAGCTGCCATCAGGCGGGATCTGATAGCCTGCTTACGTGTTTTGTTTTCTTCAAGCTGACAAAGATTCACTATGGTGGATCCATGGAGAAGTATGCTGCTGGTGAGTTGTATGGTCTTGTTGCTGAACCTTCACTTGCTACTCGCTGAAGAAAATATGAGAACAGTGAACTCTTAGAGTAATAGTTTGAAAAACATAGCTGTATCGAAAGAGAATCTCATTAGTTGGTCAGCATAGAGGTATTCTGAATTTCTGATGTGTCGTATGGTATATTGATGTTGGAAATATGGGAGTGAAAAAATTAAACTAGTAGTTTGAAAGGTGCCTGCTTTGTTCCATTTACGCAGCTTGTATTGTTTGCTTTCAGGTTTGTTTCGTGATGAATTCGTAGTAATAGTTTGAAAAACATAGCTGTATCGAAAAAGAATCTCACTAGTCGGTCAGCATAGAGCTATTCTGATGTGTTGTATGGTATATTGATGAAGGAAATATGGGAATGTGAAATATTAAACTAGTTGTTTGAAAGGTAGCCTGCATTGTTCCTTTTACTGAGCTTGTATTGTTTGCTTTCAAGTTTGTCTTTTTATCCAGGATCGTTATGTTTGTTTCGTGATGAATGTGTGCCCTGTTTTTCATGTGATCTACTGTACGTGCTCTTGAACTATTGGTTCTTTATTCACTTAATCGTCTAAAGATGCTTGGTATGCTGAGAAATTTTAGAAAATCCGGTATACTGGTTTCTGAGTTGCCGAAGAGAAACAGTTACAGCGCTTCCCTTTCATTTCATTTAGACCCTAGTGTTTGTAGTTTGTAGCTCTTCATTGATTTGCTTCTGGTACAACTGTTCTGAAATATATCAATATACCCAAATGGAGTATAATTTGGCTTTGTTAAGTTGTTAGATTTTCGGATTGCAGTACAAAATCAGAGTTATAAACCCCCAAGGCTTGTCTGGATGTTAGACTTACATGAATGTGAGCACAAAGCTTGATAGTTTATGAATGACAGGAAAACTACTATAATTCCTTGAAGTCCCGTGGGGCTTTACACCAAAGATAATATGATGCGAGCATGAGTCATATTTTTGTTGCTGAGATGATGTATGGATTGGAAACTTGTTCGGATTGATTCAAATTGCAACGAAAGGTTCGACTTTTGACTGTTGGGACATAGGCTATTGATTGTTCAGACAATCAAGAAAAACTTCAAGTCACCATTTAATTGTGCAAATAATATGACACAATACATTATCAGACCATGCTCATAAAAACCAAGTCGTCATAAGCCGGCAAATATGTCGGGACCTTTGCTAGCTATCAGCACGATTTTTCAGCCAAAACAATTGGTGTATTTCTGAAAACAGCTTTCCAGAATCATGAATCAGGGTCAGCCTAATCTTGCTTCTCGCTGTAGTACCTGAAAATACAAAGGGAAAAAAACTAGCTTTTCAAACATAGAAACTTGTAGAATGTGGTTTGAATCTTACGAAGAAGATGTTGATACTTTCTTTGCCGAAATATTGGCAAAATGGATACATAGAACACCTAAATGCATTAGCTCCAATAACTCACACAACAGAGGTAGAAAAGAAGACTAAATTGTGAACAGATTAATTTAGTTTTTTTTTTTCTTTTTTTTTTCTTTCTTCGAGATCTGAAATCAAATTTCCGACGTTCATGAAATTCTAAGCTTGCGGCTATAGCTTTCATTTTCATTAACTAAGATTTTTAATACATGAAGAGATATTCTCTTATATCAGAAAGAAATTATTCATGTATTAATATCAACCATAGTGTAACTTCAAACAACTATCTAGTCCAAAAACTATAGCTCATTACTTGTGCTATACACAAAATGAGTAACTTTTTTGCTACACCAAACCTTATAAATAAAGTAGTGAATAATTTGCGTTCTTACTTAATCATCTCTGCTCTGGTTCTCTTTTTAATCGGTCTATCTATCTAGTGTAAAGTTCATTATAAGAAACGCAATAACTAAACTATGAAGATTACACAACCCCTGTAAACCAATATGTGACCATAACCATAACCATTGATGTTCAGCCAAATATCATATAAGTGCAACTTTCATACAGTAGCTAGAATAAATATCTCCGTACAGGTTAATTTAGGAAGTACCTCTTCAGAAAATTTAATCAAAATGGTTGTCCTCGGTCTCTGTTGTCCATCAACAGGTACAAAATGAGCTGTTACAACAGCTGGAAACCCTGAGTTATCCAAGACTCCCTTCAAAATGGAGAAAAAATAGTATTAGTGCTTCTACTAAATAAATTATCTTAATGAGCTATGGTCAATAAAGTATGTACCCTCACAATTCCAGCTACAAATGCACCACAATTGAAGGCACCCATATCTTTGGGTACCGAAATAAACCTACAGTATAAACACCAAATCATCAGCACATCACAAAGAATACAAAACAGATTTGGCTTGGCAGAGAATGGAACATAATATGAAGGACTTACCTGTTGACAAGAAGTTCCTTCTCACTAATCATGTACTCATCTTCATGCTCAGTGCCTTTCTCGAGAGAGTCAGCCACCTGATGTTAATATAGTGCAAAATTAGAAGTAGACATCAGCCTGCTCCTAAAATAAACTCAGGTGAAAAAACATAAGAGTGCCAGAATTAAGCTTTGCAAGACAGGGCATAATAAATGCAAACAACTAAAAGGAATTTGCATCATATGTGACATGGTCAAGCCAAGAACTGTGGCACATCAATAGTTAAGCGTTCTTATTAAATCCAATAAGATCAACTCTATGTAAATTTCTAGTAGTGTTCCTGTTACTACATATCATGCCTGCTTCAGAAGATAAGTGGAACGGGTAGCTAACTTTTCTGCAGCAATATGGCAAATTTTGAGGTTTAAATGCATTGCTAAAGAGCAATGAGCGCCCTCTGTTACCAAAAGAATTTCATATTCAATGCCAACCTAATATCCAACTATTCCAGCAACTACGCAGACTACAAACTCAAAACTGCATTCAGAAACCTAAAAATGGCTATAAACACTGGGATAAGTCAACAAGAACAAATAGCTTGGCCACAACTATATAACTACATAAGCAAGCACCACAATGACCGACCGATAGAAGGCTTCTAAAAACGTAAGGATTTAAAACTGTGACTTCAATATTTACTCTTAACTAGTAAGACAAACGTTTTCACAGTAAATGACAATAACAAATCCAATGACAGTACTCCGTAATAATCATAGTAATAAAGCTTTCTGAGATACAAATGCGGAATGCGTAGCAAGTTAAGAAGCTTGTCTATAGGAGCAATTAGATCAGACATCTGCTCTTCTTATTAGTATTCTTGAAGTTTACTGTCATGCAACAGAAAATTTCTGGACATAAGTATAAGAATGTACAGATTGGGGCCAGACAATAAATATTCTTCATCACATATAGTATAATTATAAACATGTACACTAAACGAAATGAAAAAGTCGAATAAAAGAAAGAAGTATCAGGAGGTTAAGATGCATACCAACCTTTCCAAACAACACCTTCCACACTGTGCTGTGTATGAAAGACAAAATACCCAGTAGCCTTGTCTCCCTTCTGTTGCCCTATAATATTTCAATGGGTTATAGAGAATGTAATAATACGCTCCATGATTCTGATCCAATATTCACAAAAGTCAAACACACTTGGGACCATTTCATTAGAGAAACCATAACTACATTGCATGTGAGACAGTGAAGAAATTGATCAACATATTCACCATTATGATAGGAAGATTAAAGTCCCAGTTTAATTCCCAGAATTCAAATTGATAAAACATAAATATACAGAATGGAACAAGAAACAGAGTAGTCACAGACACTTGAAAGGGATATTTACTTCTTTCTATATGAGAAGCAACATGATACGTATTCAAAATATTTCCAGATATAGATGATTCTAGCACGATTTCGAAACTTCTTTCAATAGGATAAATAAAGAAAATAATTTCAAATTCTTGTCAGAAACGCTTAGATACAAACTTGCAATGTCACAACATAAAAATTGCTGTCGCCATTTAGGAAGAACCCACATCTGCCACATAAACTAAGCAACCTGCATCAAATAATTTATTCGCAGTTGAAGAATACTGGAGAAAGATGAACTAGTTTCCATGCTATTTGTTAAACATATATGGAAAATCAAGAAGCAGACACATAAGTGCAATCAAGAACCATGGCACTATCTATAGACAAATATACAAAAGCTATTTCATTATCTCGAAAGGAATTTGTGACAAACTTCAACCATGAAATTCCCCCACCTTCTCTCTGTGACAAAGAAGTTCCAGAACCCTAGCTCCAACAGCGTAGCCAGCATCCTCTAACCTGATCCAAATCCAAAAACTCGTCAAGTTCTCTATGTACTCAAAACTTCAAAACTTGGCATAATTCATTCCCTACAGAAACCTTCAATTGAGAATTCCTACCTAAGCCGTTAAGTGGAAAAGGCTTCCGAAAGGCACTTTAAGAAAACATATTCGTCTTGCTTTACATATATAATCATTTGACAAAATTACCGATGAAACAACTCATATTCTGCTGCACGTAAATGGGTAGTAGCTGAATGGATTTGTTCCTCCATTTCAGGTAATGCAAAGGTATATATATATATTATGATATCTATCCGATTGAAGATTAGTTATCTAACTTCTAGTTAAAGAGTATAAGGATAACACAATCTGCAAATAGAGAAACCGATCGACCTTCTTTCCAGCTCTGCTATGTTGTCCACTTGAGTCTGACTGTACTGAACAAGCTCAGAAAACAAGAACGCAAACGCGCTCAAACTGACCTGAAACAAACCCTCATTCATATCAATCATCAGCACCAAAAGCATCCTCAAATACAAACCTCAATCTCAAGCACCACAAATTGACAGACTCCAAAAAAACTTTGCAGTAAAAACAACTAATTCATCATCACCAACACAAATGCATCAAAGTGGTACTTGAAATCTCATCCATAAGGAAAAAAGAGCTTGAAGATCTGAAAGTGCAAAAACCTCTTGCTTTCCCTTGCCAAGGGGCCTCTCGAGGACATTTGAGTACTGCTTGATTTTCCCGGCTCCGATCATCTTGTTCGGCCGTTCACTGCGCGGCGTATTCTTGAGCTCCTACCGTGAGTGAGAGTTGCAGTCGTTTGTGTACGAATCTACGCGAGCTGATTTTCTTTTTCTATTTTTTTTTCCCGAATTTTCTATTTTCAATTTTGAATTCGTGATTTTCTTCTTCAATTTATGTTTTGTGCTTAATTAACGAAATGCTCAAAACTTGTTAAAGCTCGGATTAGTTATTGGCTCATTATCATAGTTTTTTTATTTTTAAAGTCGGACAATGAATCGACCCAAGCAAGTCACCGGGTCACCTGTTCGACTGTCGGGTCACCGAAGAATTATTAAATTGGATAATTAATTTTAAATTTTAAAATTATATATTTAGTACTTTTATCATATAAATATGGGTAAAATACTTTTTCCCATCCGAACTATCGCGGTTTTGGCGCATCACTATATAAACTATTTTTTTTTACAAACCACCGTATGAACTATACAAGTTTGTCAATGTGCCCCATAAACCAGATATAAAAGTGGTTTTGACTGAAAAGTTGTTTGGTCACCATATGTGCCCTCTAAATACTTTTACAAACCACCATATGAACTATCATGGGTTTGTCAATGTGCCCCCTAAACCACTTTTATATCTGGTTTAGGGGGCGTATTGACAAACCCGTATAGTTCATATGGTAGTTTGTAAATAAAAATAGTTTATATGGTAATGCGCCAAAACTGCGATAGTCCGGATGGGAAAAAATATTTTACCCTATAAATATACGAAAAATAAATGAAATAAATGTTTTTTATATAAATTTTATACAATAAATTATTAATATATAGTATTTTATCTTATAATAAATATTTATCGTATAATAATTTGTACATAATTTTATTTAAAAAAAATATATATAAAGAGCGGGTCAAACTGGGTTGGTCCGGTCGAGTCGATGTCCGGGTCAATACCGGGTTTGACTAGGTCCGAAGCACCTGCCTGGACCGGTCCGTGCTCTGGGTTAGTCGGGTCCTAGGTCAACCCACCAAGTCGATCCGGGTTGAAAATTTGTGCTCATTATGTTTAAAAAATTAAAATTTTTACGTAATTTTTTAAACTTTATGCATAATTCTTAGTTATTTAAGTATTTAACGAACCAAACTTGGTTCGGCTCGTTTAGTGTTCTCTTTGTTTGTAATACCATGAATGTTTCATTCGTAATTATTTTGTAGATAATATAATTGAAGAAATGTGATCTTATAATATATTTATTTATGACTATTTCAAATAGTATTTGAAGCATGGTTTTAAATATTATAGTTGTAGATTATATCGAATATCGACCATTGATCCCATAAAAATATGTAGTACAAAATACTGAAAAATGGCAATGCAGATTAATGTGCTGGCCGTATAATGAAACATTTAAATGGTTAAGCTAATTGACATAATAATATATATATTCAAAATATTTTAAAAATAGCTCGATTCACCACAATAAAAACATAAAAATGAGAACAAAAACATACTGAACAAAAACCAAGTGAGTGACTTATAGGAAAATGACCTCAAACCCAATGACTACATCTGTTAAATTAAACGAGTCGTTCGTGAGCTCGACTCGGCTTGATAATGCTCACAAGGATGATTTTCATCTATAGTTCGGCTCGATTTTGACTCATTAACACTGATAAACGAGTCTAGTCCGAACTCGGTTAAGTCAAGTCGGCTCGACTCGGTTACATCTCTATCGGTGACTAGATATGTGAAATTTAACGTCCTTTTCCTATCAATTGCGCTCTAGCACTTACTAGTCAGTCCATTACAGACAAATACCACCTAAAGTAATAGGGGCTATCTTTCTTATAGTTATGGATAAGGTGTACCAGTTTGTTACATCCCATGATAACCATTAACCACCCACACCAATAAAGCAAAAAATCAACACAAACAGTTATCAAAATTCACTTAGACTTGCGTTGCACAAACACAATAACATATCCCAATGGACAAACACGGCGCAAAAGAAAGGCCAATTGTAGTAGCCATGAAGGGCCATCCCGGAACAGGAAAGAGCACGCTAGCAAACGGCCTCGCCAAGGCCCTCAAATTCCCGTTGATCGACAAGGACCATTTCCGAGACTCCACGCTCCCGATCCAACGAGCCCTCGAGCAAGCCGCCGTGCTCACCACCGAAGCCGTCTCGAAACTACTCAATGACCTATCGTACGACGCCATGTGCCGGTCGGCCGCGACCCAGCTGGGCTTGGGCTTAAGCGTGGTGGTCGACTCGCCGCTCTCGAGGCGGGCCCACCTCGACCGGCTGCTGGAGATAGCATCCGGCGGCCTGGTCGTGGTGGTGGAGTGCAGGGCAGGGGATGAGGCCAAGTGGCGGAGGCGGATCGAGGCAAGGGCAGCGGCCGGCGGCGGCGGGTGGCTGCACAAGCCGTCCACCTGGGTGGAGATGGGGCGGCTGTTGGAAGGTTACGGCGGTTGTTGGGACTATGATGTTGGTGAGGTGCCTAGGATTGTTTTGGACACCACTAAAGTTGGTGTTGAGGTTGGGGATTTGGTGTCCAAGGTGATTGAGTTTGTCCATTTTTCAGTTGGGTTCAGGCAAGAAGAGCTGTAAACTAGTCGGTCCAGACTCTAACTTGTTAAATAAACGAGTCAAAGTTTGGCTCGTTGAT